CCCTTCTCTCAGAGAAGCTCATGGTGTGCTTGCAAGTGACTATGGGCAGCACTGACAATGAACTGACAGGCTTGTCTTCTGAACTTTGAGATGCCACCACCAAGGCTTCTTCACTGTGAGATCCTCCTCCTTCAAGAAGTTCTTCTGCAGCACACATTGTCACTTAGGAACTTGGACATGTAGTTCTTTACTGAGCCAGGCAGAACCACCAAGCAAAGTTGGCCCTCTTGCAGCTTCTGGGCAATCTTCACAGCAACTAACATGGTGCTGTTGGCACTGCCACCACACAGCAGTCCCTCCTATATGATCAGTATGCATTCAAAGGTGAAGGACTCCTTGTCATTGCATTTGAACCACTTGTACACCACTGTCTGGTCCAGCACCATGGGGATGAAGTCATAGATGATCTCTTCCACCTCATATGCCATCAGCTCTTCCCTGTTCAGCTCCTTGGACTTTGTGAAAATGGAGCCTTCAGGATCTGCTCCAATCATTTTGGATGCAGCACACTTCTCCTTTAGCTTCCTGGCAATGCCCACAATGGTGCCACCATGCCTACTGAAGTCACCAGCATGTCCAGATTCCCATCACATTGCTGCAAAATTTCCTCAGTGGTGATGTCATAGTGAGCAACAGGGTTGCTGACATTGTGTTATTGGTTCAGGATGTGAAAATTTGGGGTCTCATTTCTCAGCCTCCATAGCACCCCCAAGTGAGACTTGGGAAAATCAAACTTGGCATGGGTGAGTATCCTCAAGATCTCAGCCCCCAGACCCACAGAACAACCCTCTTCTCCGTACTCATCTTCTCCAGCATTATGATGTTGTAGCGGTAACCCTTCACTACAGAAGCCAGGGCCAGCCTGATTCCTGTGTTCCAAGATGTTGGCTCAATGATCAGCCAGGTTTCAGAGTCCAGCCAACTTGGCCTCCTCAACCATGTGCAGGTTGATGGGCTGTTCTTCACACCCCTACTCACATTGAAGAACTCACACTTGGCCAACAGGTCACACTTCAGGCCAAAGTTCTTCCTGATCTTGTTGACCTTACCATGGGAGTATCTCAAATTTTCTTCATGATATCTGGCAATATTTGGGGGAATTTTGCCAAGGCAGTGTGCTGATGTGGGGAGTCAGTGACGGGCCTGCCCTGGTGCCAGGAGCACCTGTTCAGGGCACTGGAACAGATCCACAATTGATCCTTGGCATCATGGTCCCCCAGTGTCTCCTGCTCCTGGTTCCCTTTCTCTGACTGTGTCCCTGAGAGGTGAGCACACCCTGCTGCCCCTTATTCTGCTTGGAGTGTCTCATAAGACATGCCACAACCTGAACCCAGCACAAGAAGGGGGCAAGTGTCAGCCGGAAAACTGTAGACTAAAGACTATTGAGTTATTTCTAAACATAATTGTTGTCAGATAATAGGTAGTAAAAGGTTATTTAGATGATTTTATTTGCTTTCCTTACATTTTTATGGACTTAAAACACTTTCTTGTAATTATTGACCATCTGCATCTCTTCCTCTGCAAATTTTGTCCATTTTTCTATTTTTTCCTCTGTGTACATTTACATATTTTTATTAGAAATGTAATGTCAACACTATTAGAGATGTCTTCTATTTTCCCCCCTTTCCCCCTTACACCAAGCCGCTCTCCCTCCCAGCTTTCACCACATTGTTGTCTGTGTCCATGGGTTATGCATATACACATACATGTTCTTTGGCTAATTTCTTCCAGTCCCCCCCCCTTTTCTTCTCTGAGATCTATCAGTCAGTTCCACGTATTCATGCCTCTGGTTTTGTTTTGTTCATCAGTTTATTTTGTTCATTAGATTCCACATATTAGTGAAACCATATGGTGTTTATCTTTCTCTGACTTCCTTGCTTTGCAAAGCATAATATTCTTCTGTTCCATCCATGATGTTGCAAAGGGTAAGAATTCCTTCATTTTTATAGCTGCATAGACTTTCATTGTGTAAATATACCACAGCTTTTTTATCCAATGATCTATTGATGGGCACTGGAGCTATTCCAGGCTTGGGCTTTTAAAGCATTAATGCTAATACCCTTCACTAATACACAGAGTCCTCATTTCAACAGATACTTATTAAATGTTTATTATTTGTCAGAAACTCCAGCCAAAACCCATATTCCAGATCTATCTTCTGAGATCTAGATGCTTATATTTACTGAAAATGTACACTTGGAGAAAGTAAATTATAAATACCCATTCATCCATGTGTGTATGAATGGTCAAGGAGAAAATACACAGTTCAAAAACACTTATCCCTAAGCCTTGCATGGCCATAAAGTAAAAAGGATACAGTGTGTTATATGAGACAAACACTGGCTGGACATTAGACTCTCTGTAATGTCTACACTTGTTTCAGAATTTTCAGAAATTACATAAAGTCTCTGAGTTTTTTCTCATTTATAAAGTAGGAATAATTATTTTTATAACAGATAATTATTGTAAAGAGCAACAAATAAAAATATTTCAAGTGTCATACAGAGCATATTGTACATTTGGTACTCTACAGACAGATATTTGTTGCTCTCCTTTCTCACATCCATTCTTCCTTTAAAAGAGGTTTCTTTGACATAATCAAAAATACTGTAATTACATGGCAACTATGTGGAAATATTCAATGGAAGGTAAATAAATAAATTTCCCCCATATATTAGCTTAAGTGTCATTTCTATCTACTGGAGTAATTTCTCTGATAATTTAAAGAAGGAAAACAATCACTAGATCAGTTCCATATGGTTTATTAAAAAAATAAAGCTATCACTCCAGCTCATTTTATATCATGCACTTCCCCATTCCATGTCTTTTATCTGTTATTTTCTCAAGAAAAATGTGTGGAGCAAACTTCAGGGGAATTCTGGCCAAGATGGAGGCAACGGTAAAAATGCTTGGCTTCCTTGCACAACCAAAAAAAAGATAGCAATCAATTTAAAAATTATAAACAACCAGAAGTGCCAGAAAATCAAACTGCATGGAACTCCAACAACCAAAGAGTTAAAGCAACATTCAGCCAGACTGGCAGGAGGGGCAGAGATGGGAGATGGAGCAGCCCAGCTGAGAGGACACACAGCAAGGTGGTAGACTGAGTGGGTGAGGTGGGGCTTGCTGAATGAGAAACTAAAGACTCAAAACCAGCTGTAAAATACTACAGAGGTTGTGATGGTAGGAGAAACTCCCAGTCTCACAGGAGAGTTCATTAGAAAGAGGGGCTAGAGCAGAGCAAGCAAGTGGTGTTGTGCTTCTCTGACCCCCTCCCCCATAAACAGTTTCACAAAACAGCAAACAGGGTTGCCCTGCCCTGGTGGATACCTAAGGCCCCTCCCCCTTACAACATAACAGGTGCACCAAGATAAAGAAATATGGTACAAATGAAAGAATATATCAAAACTCCAGAAAAAGAGCTAAGTGACAAGGAGATAGACAACCTACCTGATGCAGAGTTCAAAACACTGGTAATCAGGATGCTCACAGAACAGATTGGGCTCAGTCGCAAAATGAAGGAAGAAATAAAGGCTCCACAATGTGAAATAAAACAAAATATACAGGGAACCAACAGTGAAGGGAAGGAAACCAGGACTCAAATAAATGATTTGGAACAAAAAGAAGAAGTAAACATCCAACAGGAACAGAATGAAGAAACAAGAATTTAAAAAATGAGGAGAGGCTGGTGGCTGAGGCAGAGCTGTGGGGCATTGTGGGCTGCCATGTTGCCACCATTGCCTAGTGGTTACTGGTTACCACTCACTCTTTAGGACCTCTTGCTTTCTCTTTAAATCTTTCATTAATGAATATTGATCTGATACATAAAGGCATAGAAATTGTATTTATCCCACAGATATGGTTATAAAAATGTTTAAGTACTCTTGAGAACAGAGACTACTTACATCAGAAACAGAACAATGGCTTTATATTTTGAAACCTGATTATGTTATATGTTCTATCTTAACCAGTAAGAACAGATTCATGACATTGTAAAAATGAGGGAAAATATACATACTATAAAAATGATCATGATAAACTATACAATTCAGTGTCTTTGGAATCTGGATAATGTTGTACCACCATCAGCTATCGAGTACCTAAACATTTTCATTACCATAAAAGGAAACCCCATACAGTTCGAAGAGTACTTTCCATTTTTTCCAAGCCCCATTCTCTCATGATCTCTAAGCTCTTTCCTGTCCCTATGGCTATGCTCTCTTTTTTATGTACAGATGCTTACATGTATCACTTCCAGTTGACAGAGCTTCATTAATCACTTGTTTGTCTTAATCATTTCATTGTTTATTTACCAGTATTATGTTACTGGCACCAATTTAGTAACTGTTTGTATGTAGAAAGGAGGAAATCACTTTGATTTCAGGGATTGAATACAGTTGTGTATATAAGTTTGATTTCTCAAAAGTTACATAGGAATGAGATTTTGCATATCCCAGTTTTTGGTTAGTGTAGAAGTAACTGGCCTACATTATATGTTAACTGAATAAAATTTATAGAGTGGAAATGAACCAGTGGCTGAATGTTCCATTTAGATGCTAGGAGACCAGTCATATTGTGATGTCACAGATCCTCAGGTTGAGAACCACTATGGTTAGAATTGCTTATCTGTGTAGGCCTGTCAAGACAGCCTTTGAAGCTGCAGGTTTGAAATTATACTGACGTGGAAGGAAGCTAAAGAAAGGTTTACTTGACATGGCCCAAATTTCTTCAAAATCTCAAGATGTTTCCCCTAATGTTGGATCAACTGATTCAGAAACCTCCCTTACATCTGCCTTCTATGAAGACCCATACCCTGGGTACTTGGACTTGAAGTCTCTGGTTGAAGAAAATGTCTTTCAGGCTTTTTGTGAAGTGACCTTGATAAAAAGATCCTGTTACACAGTTTGTGCCTCTGAACCAGATGAAGATAATGATTTTATTTCTATGGCATTTTCCAGAAAACTGTGGAAAACAGTTGAAAGTGATCAATAACAACCAAGATGGCGGCCTCCTGTGTGTCCTACTGTGCTGCACTTTCCTGACCACTCTTTCTTGGGGGCAGGGTTAACCTGGCTCGTAGGCAAGTCCTCTGGAAAGCTGCAGCTGCAGAGCTGCAAACAGTTTCCGAATCCCAGATATTAAGGCTAAGACATACTACAGTTGTAACAACAAAGAAAAATGTGGCTTCCTTAAGACGTGAAACCTACACAGTGGATTTTATTAAAAAGCAGATTGAGAAGTTCAACCTAGGAAAGAGACATTTAGCCAACATGATGGGAGAAGATCCAGAAACTTTTACACAAGCGGATATTGATAGAGCTATTGCTTATCTTTTCCCCAGTGGTTTATTTGAGAAGCGAGCCAGGCCAATAATGAAGCATCCTGAACAGATTTTTCCGAAACAAAAAGCAACCCAGTGGGGAGAAGATGGTTGTCCATTTCATTTTCTCTTTTATACTGGCAAACAGTCATATTATTCATTAATGCATGATGCTTATGGAAAACTACTCAATTTAGAAAAACATAAAAATGAGTTGTAAGCCAAAGGTCTGTTTTCAGAGGAAGCTAAAACCAAAGACCTGATTGGCAGCAGATGGCTGATTAAGGAGGAAATAGAAGAAATGTTAGTGGAAAAACTGTCAGATCAAGATTATGCACAGTTCATTCGGCTGCTGGAAAGGTTATTGACACTGCAGTGTGGTGCTGCTGAAAAAGAATTTTTGCAGAGCTTTCGTAGGAGTGTAACTATTCAATCAAAGAAACAGCTGATTGAGCCTGTGCGGTATGATGAGCAGGGAATGGCCTTCAGCACAAACGAAGGTAAGAGAAAGAGTGCAAAAGCAGAGGCAGTTGTTTATGAACATGGAAGTGGAAGAATAAAAGTTAATGGAATCGATGACCTACTTTACTTCCCTGTGACACAGGACAGAGAACAGTTGATGTTCCCTTTCCACTTCCTGGACCGACTTGGAAAACACAATGTGACCTGCACAGTCTCGGGAGGTGGGAGGTCAGTGCAAGCTGGAGCAATACGCTTGGCAATGGCCGGAGCTTTGTGCAGTTTTGTCACAGAGGAAGAGGTTGAGTGGATGAGACAAGCCGGACTACTTACTGCTGATCCACGCATCAGAGAACGGAAGAAGCCAGGCCAAGAGTGAGTCCGCAGGAAGTTCACCTGGAAGAAGTGCTAAGTGTTTGCTCAGGAGAGGAGAGGACATGCTGCATGTGTGCCTGCATGTGGCAGACATACAATGTGAGGGCAACACTATCAGAAACTTGAGTTGTGAGATTATTTATTTTTAATGCTACTTTGGAAAGGTTACTTTATAAAAATAATTTTTAAATGTTTAGCTTCAATCTTCCGCTTAATTTTTTTAGCTTTTTCAGAAGATAGTTTTAGAAGAATAATTCATAGAATCTTGGCATACTAGATCTTAAGGGAACATTGAGCCAAACCCAGTCAAGTAACCTCATTTTGTAGACAAGCTCCAAAGTTTAAGTTTAAGCCACATTGCTAATTTAATGATTGAGCTAGACTTGAACTCACTTGTCTTGATTCTGTTGTTTGCCCACATGGCAATTGTTACAACACAGTTTTCACCACTGAGAGATGAGAGTGCTTGCTAAAAAGGATGAAATAAGTTCAGTGCCTTTGTCAGGAGCTCAGCAGAGCTGGAGAGGGCTGAGCTGCCACAGCTGATTGCCATAGCAAGCCAGCTTCCCCGCCCTTCACCCCAGCAGCTACCATTCTCCTCTCCATTTCTGACTTTTTCCTACATGTAATTGATGCCATGTGGTATTTGTCTTCCTCTGTCTTCACTTACTTTACTTAACATCATGCCCTCCAAGCTGGGTACATAGTTTCAGTTATAAGGTAAATTAGTTCTGAGGATCTAATATATAGAGTAGTGACTGGTTGATAATACTATATTGTATCATTGAAATTTGTTAAGAGGATAAGTCTTTAAGCATTCTCAAATAAAGAAAGAAAGAAAGAAAGAAAGAGATCAATAGAAGTCTATTTGGTCAGATAAGAAGAGAACTTCAATAGTGATTAATGAAGGACCCTTGGAGAGAGAAGTTTTGGAAAGGTCCCTTTCAGAATATTTGACACTGATAATATGAAAAGTTTAGTTCAGCAGCTTAACCTGTATGGTTTTAGTAAAGTGCAAAAAAATTTTCAAAGATCAGCTTCTCTAGCTGACTTTCTGGCACAAGAGAAAGTACTCTGTCTTAAACAAGTTACAGTGACATTATAATCCCAATTTCAAATGAGGGTATCCCCATCTTTTAGTAAGAATTAAAAGGCATAGGATTAAAAGTGCTTCTTCAACAACTTCATTAGCTCAAGATTTCAATAAAAAGCACTTTGGAGCTGAGGATCATGTGAATAACCCTAATTCTGGTTATGTTGCTGAAAACATGTTATGGTTCTTGGATAAATAAAGCAGCTTATATCACCTATGGAATCAGTCCACTTTTGTTTTACATATTTTTAAGTCTGACAAGAATTTTGTGTGTCTCCACTGCCTTTATAAACTCACTGAACAGTTCTTTGTATTTTTTGCAAAGAAATACAAAGAGGTAAAACATACCTCTGGGACTGGTATCTGAAAGAATCAATATGACAGTTAAAAAGGATCTATTGTTGTAAAGGACAATCTTTTTATCTGTGAAATGAGATTATATTTGCTTCAAAGGATTGCTGTGTATATGGTATGAAGTACTGATTATGTTATCTGTATTGGGCTGGCCTCTAATTTTACCCCTATACCAGCAGGACCAGAACCCCATCAGACACTTGGAAGAGTTGAGGTACTCTTCCTGTACCCAGGGATAAGTCCAAGAGCCAAAAGATGGGTGTTACCCTCTCTTGAGTACTGCCATGTCTACTGGCACTGTGCTCCTTCTCATGAGTCCTGTTTCTTCTTAAGGCCCCCACTGCAGCTGATGGGCTGGTATCTTCAAGGTGACAAAGCCCAACTGGCTTTCCTGGAGTCCCCCAATGAGCCCCAAACCTGCTCCAACCATGGCACCTATAGAACTGAGGATAAAGCCCTTTTCTTCACTTTAAATTTGTGCTTACCCAAGTGGGTAACACCTCAGTGATGTTTTGGCTCCTAAAGGCTTTCAGGGTTTTTTTTGTTTTTGTTTTTGTTTTTAATCAAAAACAATCCTTTCTGCATTTGTGGTTTTTTAAAGTGTGTTTTTGCATACAGCCATCTCTCCACCAGATTCAGATATGGGAGGCTGGAATAAATTCGAGTATTTTTCTCATCTGTCAGAGCCTTGACTGCTTTATCCCTCTTTTCTTAGAGGAAATGATCTAGGAATATCCTGCCAGATTTTGCCTTACAATGTTAGCACACCTACCCACACCTGTGGTTTTTAGAGCATTGCTACTTAAATAGTGTTCCATGAACCAGCTATATCAGCATCACCTGAGAGACAGAAATACAGAATTTCAGTTCCACATTGCAGACCTACTGAATCAGAGTCTCCATTTTAACAAAATCTGCAGAAGACTCCTGTGAACATTAAAGTTTGAGAAGCTCTTAAACTTTCTTCTTCTTCTCAGCCTTCTAACTCTCACCTTTACATGAAATAAGTGCCTAGTAGGATAAATACATGTGCTACCTAACATACACATCACAGGTTATTAAATAGATATGTTTTTTAGCAAAATGTAGTTTGACACCCTCTATATTAGCAGGAACTTAATCAAATTCAATGGATCAAGACCTGAAATTTTTAAATGAAGTAGGGTAAAATAGAATTGATTAGAACCAAACAGTATCAGATTATTGCAGGTAGAGTATTGTTTTGTGAAATTTATGTTTCAGTTATGTATGTATGTTTATATATCCTGAGTGGTGGTGAAAGAAATGTCTTACTGTGGGCCCCAGCCAGGGAGCTCAGTTGCTTGGAACATCATCTCGTGCACCAAAGGGTTGTGGGTTCAATTCCTGGTCAGTGCACATATCCGGGTTGCAGGCCAAATCCCTGGTCCGGGAGCATGTGGGAGGTGGCCAATCAGTGTTTTCCTCTCACATTGATGATTCTTTCTCTCATTCCCTCCCTCTCTCTCTAAAATCAATAAACATATCTTCAGGTGAGGATTTTAAAAAAATGTTTCTGTACCAATCTCTTGAGAGAGAGAGAGAGAGAGAGAGAGAGAGAGAGAGAGAGAGAGAGAGAGAGAGAGAGAGAGAGACATGTCTTACTGTGGGCTGAAGTTTTTTTTTTTTAATTGAGAAACACTGCGTTGGACTCTGCTTCTCAAATCACAGTCTGTCTTTTTCATCCTGGTACCTTTAATACCTAGCACAATACCTGACAAGTAATAGGTTCTTAATAAATTTGTAAATAAGAATAACTGAGTTAGGAGTTCTTGACCCATATCATTCCCAGTCTAGGTAAATAATTGTGGAGGGTTTACTTGCATTTCCAAATGGAACACCATGCAAAAGGGTTTGTGCTATAACTTTAATCCTTACTCAGTTTATTAATGCGTTCATGTTTTTCAATTACGCTAATCTGCCACATGTCAGAATCACCAAATGAATTTGTTGAAAATGTAAACTCCTGACCCCCCACCCCATATCCACTGAGTGGAGCTCTAGAATCTTCATTTTTAATAAATTTCCTAGGTGATTCTGATTCACACTCAAAGCTAATGTCCACTGACTTACATATTCATTATGATCTCAGTCATATTAAGTGTAAACTACCATGAAGTAAGCAGAATAAAAGAGTTTCAATGTCTGGTTTTTTTTTCCCCTGGGGGCAGTGAAGGAGAGGTAAAGACTTTTCTAAGGTATAAAACAAAGTTTGGAAGTGAAAATCCCTAAGTGCAAGATTAACATATCTACTGAAGAGAACCTGAAAGTGTCTTTAAAGCAAATCACACCTGTAAACAAAGGCAAATGGAAGGCATATCATAATATGGTGTATTTCCTTCTCCAGATGCTATTATAACTATGGCAGCTAAACAGTTTCATTGCTTAAAAGACACATGGGACTCCAAATGTCAAATCCAAGGATGCAACAGCAAAAGCATTAAGGATATGCATCCTAGCAAGGCATCTGGAGAGACCAGGTGTGAGTTCCAACTTCCCTCCCTCTCTGTAAGAGCCCTCACAATATGTACTTCTTATTTTGGATCAGGAACAATGGATGTGTACACAGAGTACATCAGAACCAGAGAGCACAAAATGGAGTCTCAGCGCAGGATTCTGGTACACTGCTGGTTATGTAGGTATATTCTTGCTATATGGCCAGCTTCAACAGCAGAGCTCTTGGTGGGAAGGTTCATCAAGATGAGGTGTAGATTAACCTTGTTACCAATGAACAAAGCCGACAACCTGGTACACAGCACCCAAAACTCCTCACACTCATGATTACAAAACAACATTGTTAGTAGGTTTCGTGCCTTTAACATGGGTCAGTGCCACACAGGTGAATTTCTTAATTCAATAGAACAGCTTAAGGAAATCCCTGAAATTAACCCTCTAAGAATAATGTACCTCTTACTCTCATCTTTACAATGTGAATAAAGATGAATAGGGATACCTTTTCTCACTGCAAGCACAATTCCCCATGATTACTATTAACATGGCCCTCACCCACGTGCTGGATATCTCTCCATCTTCCTATCCAGATTCACTCTCCACCCTCCTCCAGCACTCCCTGCTCTGTATCCAGGAGAGTTTGAGCTGTATGGACTACATCAAAGGGCTCCCTCATCCTTTGGGAGCCAGCAGTGGACAATGTGGTCAGGAAATTTTCCTTCCAGCTTGTTCCCTGAAATATCACCAGATGGTGATTAAGTCTCTTTTCCAAATGTTCCTGGAAGATGGCCCTTTCAACATAGGCTCTATATCTCCAGCTTTCAGTAACCTTTCTTTCCCTTTGTCCCTCAAGCCTACAACCGATAATCCTAATTTTACTAGCTGTAGAATATTTCATTATCCCTTCTGGTTCTGCAATGCCTTTCCCACACATTTATATATTGTCCTTTAAAAAAAATTCTGTCACATTGTTTAAAGCCATGCACTTCTCAGATACAGTAATAGATACCAGAAGTTACCCTAGGAGTTATGTTGCTCATTTGAGGTGGGAAAAAACAACTTCCTTAAAATGAGGGTCAAGAGAGTGGGAAGCAGATATTATAGTAGTATCACACTTACTC